AACGAAGTTTTATAATAATGGAATGTAAGAAAAGTGACCTGAAAAACGGGGCTGACTCGATAACCCGTGTCCGATTTTAACGAAACTTGTTTTATTCTGTTTCTATTCTCATTTCATTAAAAATATGGCGCTATTGTGCGCCGTTTTTGCTGTATTTAATTATAGACAAGCACACACACAAACAAACAATCAATCTCAGAGTTTTAGTAGTATACATCAAAGATTAAGTTTTAATTATCTTATGATATCATGCTTTTACGATGATTTAAATGGTCAGGGAATGTATGAAACTAATGAAATAGTGATTTAAACTTATTGTATTAATTATAGTCAGGTTGAAACATGTCATAGTGGTCCCATTTCGTGGAACTATGACGTCATGGCCGCCTAGCAACTTGCCCTCTAGTGACAAATTGTGGAACTTTGACATCATGACCGCCATGATTATCATGGCGGCTATTTGTGAAACTATGATGTCATCATCTTTGGTGACATCATCCTCACCGAGGCGACATGCGTGTGGCGCTCTCTAACGGCGTGTTGCTTTAGTGCTGAAAACTGTTGATCACTTACAACTTTTAGCTTTTAGTGTATATTTGTTCAGTATATGTAAATAAAAGCATGCAAAAGATATTGGATTATCTTGCTATATAAAACAGGATTGTTTTCTTTTCATATAAAGTTCACACTTTGTTATTAGTATGAAGGACCAAAGAAAAATTTCGTTAATAGATGGCATGAAATTCATAAATTTAATCATTCTGTTTTTGAAAGTTTGAGAGTATATACAAGTCTTACCTCATGCAAAATATTGCACTCCTGATGATGACACAGATAGATGTTGAAACACAGAGGGTATAAGACTGTTCACAGACTCCAAGATTTTACCTTTATGCAGTAAATTATTAATTAACATGTTTACTGCATTTTGAGAATGGAGACAGTATCATTTTTAAATATTTATTGTGCATCATTAAACGTTATTTATTTAAACAGTTGTGATATTTCAGTATCAGGTGGAAATACTCCACTGTTTCAGTATCACAGCAGATGGTGTGTGTGTGTGTGTGTGTGTGTGTGTGTGTGTGTGTGTGTAATAAGTAGAATA